ATTTGATTTTGGCAGCTCCAGGAACTACTGGAAGCAGGAAACAGTGCTAGAATTGGGATAAACCACAGTGACTCCTTACTCTTCTTTGTTACTATTAGGCAGCAGAGATACATGTTTTGGTGATTTTACTTATAATAATGAGATAAACTTGAATATGAATACATTGACTTGGTTGTTCAAGGAGCTAACTCTTGGATAAAATACCTAGTCAGTGAAACTTCTTTAGAGAATAGTGTGATATTCCCAACAAGACTATTTTAGTAACAAAAATTACGTTGAATTCAAATTAACTCCTACAATGGTCATTTTCAATGAATATTGGAGAGTTTTCTGAATGTAAATTTTATTAATATCTAATGCTGGTAATGGTGTAACTTTGTAGATGTATGTCAAAATTGGTAATTCATGATGTTTTTATTGAGGCTAATATATTATTTTCTGTTACTGTGAATGTTTGAAGAAACTTTCAGAAGGCTAAACTAGCAGATACAAGAAAGTTAGCCAAATTATTTCACCACACGGGAGTGAGAAAAAATGAATATTATCTACTAGGTTTCAACAAACATATATCCAATCTGATCAATTTAGGACACTTCCACTGAAGAGACGTGAAGTGTCATTGTAATTGTGTGCCTTCCCAGTTATCAGACGAGTTAAAGAGCGTGATGAATGTTTGTAGTATAATTATGTAAATCCTTCTGATTTCCTGCATGAAAGACATGCGGGATCGTGTACCACCTGCTTTGACGTTGATTCTCAGGTGTATGAGTTGCTTCACTGATTTAGGTCACATTTGTCCTCATCACTGGGCATATCCACATTGATATTGACACAGTTTTATTTTAGTTTTAGACATACGACAAATCATACCGTGTTTGCAATTGTAAGGGTATATTTCATGAAGCCTATGTTCACTTTTGTCAGTGTATTTCTGTCATGTTCCAGTCCCCAGAAACAAGGTAGAAAACAGCAAAGCCTACACTAATACAGGCAGGAGGATACAGCTTGGTGCTAACATTGTATGCCTGTGTGGATAACTTTATCATATTTATATACGAGTGATTGTGTATCCCTTTTGCTTTTCAGTGTCTTCTCAGAAACCACCAGCCTTGAAGGTAATTAAATTTTCATTTATATTTTGTACTAGTAACTGTAGAGTCTATGAACCTACTTTATTTATTAATTATTTTGTTTCAAATTCCATTCAGGTTATAAGTGACGAGAAAGATTCTGTTTTGAATATAGCTACAGGAATAAAGGATGGACAAGAATCTGGGGCAGGTAATTCTGCAAAACACATTTAATGTCATGTTCAGTCCAGATAGAAAATAACTTCTCTTCCCTGAATAAATCAGCATGGGGCTAGTCGAAGCTACACATTCTGATTCAGCAGGCCTGACTTTCTTCATATGTAATAAGTTCTCTGGTGACGCCCATGCTGCTGGTCTCGAACATGATCTTCGCAGTAAGATTATAGACTTCCACACATTGAAATTGGGAAGAAGAAACATTGGAGAGCAGATCAAGATGTAAGGGGCTCAGGCGATAGCATAATTTTGCTTTAATTCTACAGCATATTTTCACCAAGGGTGGAAGGAGAAAGAGATGAAGTATAGATTTTATAGACATCACACCATACTGCTGAAGACAGACGGAAACTTGATCGTTAATAACTCGCGGACAATAGAACGAGAAGTATCCAGACCACTGATATAGCAATTAGTTTTCCCAAGGAAGTGGGTTTGTGAGGCAGGAAGGAGGGAAAAGAAGTTATTTATGTAATTTTGTGATTTCTGCTGAGGAAACCTGAGTGAATTCACTTCAGATGCATGTAGCATATTTGCAGAAAAAAGATTTCATTTTGGCAGCTCCAGGAACTACCGGATGCAGCAAAGAATGCTAGAATTGGGATGAACTTCAATGACTAATTACTCCTCTTTGTTACTGTTAGTCATCAGACTTACATGTTTCGTTGATTTTAGTTTTAAAAATGAGATACGCTTGAATATGAATACATTGGCTTCTTTGATCAAAGAAGTAACTCTTGGAAAAATCGCAATTTAATGATATTCTTTAGAGAATAGCATGATACTCCTAACAAGACTATTTTAGGAACAAAAATACTGTTGAATTCATCAACTGACCCTAAAAATGGTCATTTTCAATGAATGTTGGCGTGATTTCTGAATGGAAAAGCTCACTAATATCCAATTCTTGTAGGAGTTTTATTTAGCAGAAGTATGTCAAAATTAATAATTGATTATGCTCTTTATTGAGGTTTATATATTATACTTTGTGGCCATGAGTGGATGAAGAACTGTTCAGAAGGCTAAACTAGAGAATGCAAGAATCTTAGGCGAATTATGACACCACACGGGTGTGAGAAATAGTGAATATAATTTACTCAGATTCCAGAAACATATATCCAAGCTTATGAACTTAGGACACTTCCACTTAGAAGACGGGAAATGTCCATTCAACTAAAGTGTCATTGTAATTGTGTAAGTTCTCAGTTATCAGGCAAGTTAAACAGCATGATGAATGTTTGTAGTATAATGGTGTAAATCCTTCTGCTTTGTTGCCTGAAAGACATGCAGGATCATGTACCACCTGCTTTGACATTGTTTCTCAGGTGTATGAATTGCTGCTCTGATTTTACATCACATTTCTCCTCATCACTCGCCATATTCATATTGATATAGACACGGTTTTATTTTAGTCTTAGACCTACGACTAATCGTACCATGTTTAAAATTGTAAGGGTATATTTGGTGAAGCCTGTATTCTTCTTCAGTGTATTTCTGAAGTAGAAAACATCAAATCCAACGCTAATACAGGCAGGAGGATACAGCTTGTTGCTAACACCTCATGAATGTACAAATAACATTATCTTATGTTCATATGATTGATTATGTGTCCCTTTTGCTTTTTAGTGTCTTCTCAGAAACAACCAACCTTGAAGGTAATCAAACACTCATTTATATTTTGAACTTGTAACTGTATAGTCTATAATCTATACTTTATGTATTGATTATTTTGTTTCAAATTCCATTCAGGCTACAAGTGACAAGGAAGATTCTGTTTCGAATATAGCCACAGAAATAAAGGATGGACAACAATCTGGGACAGGTAATTCTGCAATACACATTTAACGTCATGTTCAGTCCACATAGAAAAGAACTTCTCTTCCCTGAGTAAATCATCGTGGGGCTCGTCGATCTCACATTCTGATTCAGCAGACCTGAGATTCTTCATATTTAATAAGTTCTCTAGTGACGCCGATGCTGCTGGTCTTGGACATGACCTTCCCGGTAAGATTATAGACTTCCACACATTGAAATTGGGAAGAAGAAACATTGGAGAGCAGATCAAGATGTAAGGGGCTCAAGGGACAGCATAATTTTGCTTTAATTCTACAGCATGTTTTCACCAAGGGTGGAAAGAGAAAGAGATGAAGTATAGATTTTGTAGACATCACACTGTACTGCTAAAGACAGACGGAAACTGGATCGTAATAACTTGTGGACACTAGAACGAGAAGTAACGAGACCACTGATGTAGCAATTAGTTTTCCCAAGGAAGAGGGATTGTGAGGTAGGAAGGAGGGAAAAGAAGTTATTTATGTAATTTTGGGTTTTCTCCTGCGGAAACCTGAGTTAACTTACTTCAGGTGCATGTAGCATATATGCAGAAAGAAGATTTGATTTTGGCAGCTCCTGGAACTACAGGATGCAGCAAAGAATGCTAGAATTGGGATAAACCACAATGACTAATTACTCCTCTTTGTTACTATTAGGCATCAGACTTACATGTTTCGTTGACTTTAGTTTTAAAAATGAGATACGCTTGAAAAAGAATACATTGGCTTCTTTGATCAAAGAGGTAACTCTTGGATAAAATTGCAATTTAATGAATATTCTTTAGGGAATAGCATGATACTCCTAGCAAGACTATTTTAGAAACAAAAATACTGTTGAATTCATCAACTGACCCTAAAAATGGTCATTTTCAATGAATGTTGGCGTGATTTCTGAATGGAAAAGCTTACTAATATCCAATGCTTGTAGAAGTTTTATTTAGTAGAAGTATGTCAAAATTAATAATTGATTATGCTCTTTATTGAGGTTTATATATTATACTTTGTTGCCATGAGTGGATAAAGAAATGTTTGGAAGGCTAAACTAGAGAATACAAGAAACTTAGGGGAATTATTACACCACACAGGTGTGAGAAATAATGAATATTATTTACTCCGATTCTGGAAACATATATCCAAGCTGATCAATTTAGGACACTTCCAACTTAAAGGCGTGAGATGTCCATTCAACTAAAGTGTCATTGTAATTGTGTAAGTTCTCAGTTATCAGGCAAGTTAAAGAGCATAATGAATGTTTGTAGTATGATGGTATAAATCCTTCTGCTTTCTTGCCTGAAAGACATGCAGCATGTACCACCTGCTTTAACATTGATTTTCAGGTGTATGAATTGCTGCACTGATTTTACATCATATTTCTCCTCATCACTCAGCATATCCATAATGATATAGACCCGGTTTTATTTTAGTTTTAGACGTATGACTAATCATACTATGTTTGAAATAGTAAGGGTGTATTTCGTGAAGCCTGTATTCCTTTTCTTCAGTGTATTTCTAAAGTAGAAAACATCAAATCCTACACTAATACAGGCAGGAGGATACAGCTTAATGCTAACACCTCATGAATGTATGAATAACATTATCTTGTGTACATATGAGAGATTATGTGTCCCTTTTGCTTTTTAGTGTCTTCTCAGAAACAACCAGCCTTGAAGGTAATTAAACTCTCATTTATATTTTGAACTAGTAACTGTATAGTCTATGAACTGTACTTTATGCATTGATTATTTTGTTTCAAATTCCATTCAGGCTACAAGTGACAAGGAAGATTCTGTTTCGAATCTAACCACAGAAATAAAGGATGCACAAATATCTGGGACAGGTAATTTTACAATTCGCATATAATATCAGGTTCAATCAAGATAGAAGAGAACTTCTCTTCCCCAAATAAGTGAGCGTGGGGTTCGTCGAAGGTTCGCGTTCTGTTTCAGCACGCCTGAGATTCTTCCTTTGTAATAAGTTCTCGGGTGAGCCTCATGCTGGTGGTCTTTGGCCGTGATCTGAGTACTAAGATTATAGACTTCCCTATTTTGAAATTGGGAAGAAGAACCATTGGAGAGCGGTTTAATACATAAGAGGCTCAGGAGACAGCATCATTTTCCTTTAATTCTACAGCATGTTTCCATCAAGAGGGGAAAGAGAAAGAGATGAAGTAATAGATATTACAGACATCAGATCGTATTGCTATGAACATAGGCAAAAGTAATCCTAATACCCCAAAAACACTGTAGAATGAGAACTAACAAGATCAATGATGTAGCAATTATTTTGCTCAAGCAAGAGGAATTGTGAGGCAGGAAGTAGGGAAAAGATGAGGTTATTTATGAAATTTTGGGGTTTCCGCTGAGGAAACGTGAGTGAACTCACATCAGATACATTTGGAATATTTGCATAAAAGAATATTTGATTTTGGCAGCTCCAGGAACTACTGGAAGCAGGAAACAGTGCTAGAATTGGGATAAACCACAGTGACTCCTTACTCTTCTTTGTTACTATCAAGCATCAGAGATACATGTTTTGTTGATTTTACTTATAAAAGTGAGATAAACTTGAATATGAATACGTTGCTTTCGTTGTTCAAGGAGCTAACTCTTGGATAAAATAGCTACTCAGTGAAACTCCTTTAGAGAATAGTGTGATATTCCCCACAAGACTATTTTAGTAACAAAAATTATGTTGAATTCGAATTAACTCCTACAATGGTCATTTACAATGAATATTGGAGTGATTTCTGAATGTAAATTTTATTAATATCTAATGCTGGTAACAGTGTAACTTTGTAGAAGTATGTCAAAATTGGTAATTCATGATGTTTTTATTGAGGCTAATATATTATTTTTTGTTACCGTGAATGTTTGAAGAAACTTTCAGAAGGCTAAACTAGCAGATACAAGAAAGTTAGCCAAATTATTTCACCACACGGGAGTGAGAAATAATGAAATTATCTACTAGGTTTCAACAAACATATATCCAAGCTGATCAATTTAGAACACTTCCACTGAAGAGACGTGAAGTGTCATTGTAATTGTGTACCTTCCCAGTTATCGGACGAGTTAAAGAGCGCGATGAATGTTTGTAGTATAGTTATATAAATCCTTCTGATTTCCTGCATGAAAGACATGCGGGATCGTGTACCCCCTGCTTTGACATTGATTCTCAGGTGTATGAGTTGCTTCACTGATTTAGGTCACATTTGTCCTCATCACTCGGCATATCCACATTGATATTGACACGGTTTTATTTTAGTTTTAGACATATGACAAATCATACCAAGTTTGCAATTGTAAGGGTGTATTTCATGAAGCCTGTGTTCCCTTTTGTCAGTGTATCTTTGTCATGTTCCAGTCCCCAGACACAAAGTAGAAAACATCAAAGCCTACACTAATACAGGCAGGAGGATACAGCTTGGTGCTAACACTGTATGCGTGTATGGATGACTTTATTATATTTACGTATGAGGGATTATGTATCCCTTTTGCTTTTCAGTGTCTTCTCAGAAACCACCAGCCTTGAAGGTAATTAAATTTTCATTTATATTTTGAACTAGTAACTGTAGAGTCTATGAAATATACATTATTTATTGATTATTTTGATTCAAATTCCATTCAGGCTACAAGTGACAAGAAAGATTCTGTTTCGAATATAGCCACAGAAATAAAGGATGGACAAAAATCTGGTACAGGTAATTTTACAGAACACATTTAGTGTCATGTTCAGTCCAAATGTAGAAGAATCCTCTTCCCTGAATAAATAGCGGGGGACTCGTTGAAGATGTACATTCTGAATCAGCAGGCCTGAGATTCTTCAGTTGTAATAAGTTCTTGGGTGATGCTGATGCTACTGGTCTTAGACATGATCTTCACAATAAGATTATAGACTTACCCACATTGAAATTGGGAAGAAGATACCTTGGAGAGCAGGTCAAGACATAAGGGGCTTAGGGGACAGAATACTTTTGCCTTAATTCTACAGCATGTTTTTACCAAAGGTAGAAGGAGAAAGAGATGAAGTATAGATTTTACATTCACATCGTACTGCTGAAAACAGACAGTAAAGTGATCGTAATAACTCGTACACAGTGTAGAACAAGAACTAATGAGTCCACTGATGTAGCAATTAGTTTTCTCAAGGAAGAGGGATTGTGAGGCAGGAAGGAGGGAAAAGAAGGAGTTATTTATGTAATTTTGGGTTTTCTGCTGAGGAAACCTGAGTGAACTCACTTCAGAGGCATTTGGCGTATTTGCATAAAGAAAATTTGATTTTGGAAACACCAGGAACTACAGGATGCAGGAAAGAATGCTAGAATTGGTGTAAACCACATTGACTAATTACTGCTCTTTGTTACTATTAGGCATGAGACTTACATGTTTTTTTGATTTTAGTTGTAAAAATTGGATACAGTTGAACGTGAATACATTTGCTTCTTTGATCAAAGAGCAAAGTCTTGGATAAAATAACTATTTAATGAATATTCTTTAGAGAATAGCATGATACTCCTAACAAGACTGTTTTAGAAACATAAGTAATGTGGAATTGATAAACTGACTACTTGGTCATTTTCAATGAATATTGGTGTGATTTCAGAATGGAAAAACTTATTAATATCCAGTGCTTGTAGCAGTTTTATTTAGTAGAAATATGTCAAAATTAATATAATTGAGGATGCTTTTAATTGAGGTTTATGTATTATACTTTGTTGCCATGAGTGGATGAAGAAATGTTCGAAAGGCTAAACTAGAGAATACAAGAAACTTAGGCAAATTATTGCATCACATGGGTGTAAGAAATAATGAATATTATTTACTCGAATTCAGGAAACATATATCCATGCTGATCAACTTAGGACACTTCCACTTAAGAGATGTGAAGTGTATGTTCAACTGAAATGTCATTGTAATTGTGTACCTTCTCAGTTATCAGGCAAGTTAAAGAACGTGATGAATGTTTGTAGTATAATAGTGTAAATCCTTCTGATGTATCACATGAAAAACATGTGGGATCATGTACCACCTGCTTTGACATTGATTCTCAGGTGTATGAATTGCTGCTCTGATTTTAGATCACATTTGTCCTCATCACTCGGCATATCCACATTGATATTAACATTGTTTTATTTTAGTTTTAGACATAGAACAAATCATACCAAGTTTGCAGTTGTAAGGGTATATTTCGTGAAGGTTGTATTCCTTTTTTTTCAATCTATTTCTGTCGTGTTCCAGTCTCCATACACAAAATAGAAAACATCAAAGCCTACACTAATACAGGCAGGAGGATACAGCTTGATGCTAACACTTCATGAGTATATGAATAATATTATCATATGTACATGTGAGTGACTATGTATCCCTTTTGCTTTTCAGTGTCTTCCCAGAAACAACCACCCTTGAAGGTAATTAAACTGTCTTTTATACTTTGAACTATTAACTGTATAGTTTATGAAATATACTTTTTTTATTGATTATTTTGTTTCAAATTCCATTCAGGCTACAAGTGACAAGAAAGATTCTATTTCGAATATAGCCACAGAAATAAAGGATGGACAAGAATCTGGGACAGGTAATTTTGCAAAACACATTTAATGTCATGTTCAGTCCAGATAGAAAATAACTTCTCTTCCCCCGAATAAATCAGCGGGGGACTCATCGATGCTGCACATTCTGATTCAGCAGGCCTGAGATTCTTCATATGTGATAAGTTCTCAGGTGACACTGATGCTGCTGGTCTTGGACATGATCTTTGCAGTAAGATTATATATTTCCCCATGTTGAAATTGGGAAGAAGAAATATGGAGAGCAGGTCAAGACATAAGGGGCTCAGGGGACAGCATAATTTTGTTTTAATTCTACAGCGTGTTTTCTTAAGGGTGGAAGGAGAAAGAGATGAAGTATAGATTTTACAGTAAGAGCATGATGAATGTTTGCAGTACAATGGTCTACATCATTCGGGTATCTTGCATGAAAGACATGCGGGTGCATGTACCACCTCCTTTGACATTGGTTCCCAGGTGATTGAGTTGCTTCTCTGATTTTAGACCACATTTGTCCTCATCACTTGACATATCCTTATTGAAATTGACACTGTTTTATTTTAGTTTTAGTCATATGACAGATCATAATATGTTTGAAATGATTAGTGTATATTTCGTGAAACCTGTATTCTTGTTTTCTTCAGTGTATTTCTGTCATGTTCCTGTCCCAAGATACAAAATATAAAACATCAAAGGCTTCACTAAGACGGGCAGGAAGATGCAGCTTGATGCTAACACTGCATGAATGTTTGAATAACTTTATCATATGTACATGTGACTGATTATATATCCCTTTTGCTTTTCAGTGTCTTCTCAGAAACAACCAGCCTGGAAGGTAATTAAAATCTCGTTTGTATTTTGAACTATTAACTGTATAGTGTATGAAATATACTCTATGTATTGATTATTTTGTTTCAAATCCCATTCAGGCTACAAGTGACAAGAAAGATTCTGTTTCAAATATAACGACAGAAATAAAGGATGGACAAATATCTGGGAGAGGTAATTTTACAATACACATTTAATGTGATATTCAGTCAAGAGAGAAGAGAAATTCACTTCCCCAAATAAATCAGTGGGGAGTTCATCAAAGCTGCACGTTCTGATTCAGCACACTGGAGAGTCTTCATTTTAGTAAGTACTCAGGTGACCCTGATGCTGCTGGTCCTTGGCCATGATCTGAGTAGTAAGATTATAGACTGCCCTACATTGAAATTGGGAAGAAGAACGATTGGAGAGCAGTTCAACACATAAGGGGTTCAGGGGACAGAATAATTTTGCTTTAATTCTAATGCATGTTTCCATCAAGAGGGGAAGGTGAAAGAGATGAAGTAACAGATATTATAGGCATCAGATCGTATTGCTATAAACAGAGGGAAAAGTGATCCTTATACCCCATAAACACTGTAGAATGAGAACTAACCAGACCACTGATGTAGCAATTATTTTCCTCAAGGAAGAGGGATTGTGAGGCTGGAAGGAGGGAAAATAAGAAGTTATTTATGTAATTTTGGATTTTCTGCTGAGGAAACCTGTGTGAACTCACTACAGATGCATTTTCAATATTTGTATAAAAGAAGATTTGATTTTCGCTGCTGCAGGAACTACTGGAGCGGGAAACAATGCTAGAATTGGGATAAATCACTGTGACTCCTTACTCTTCTTTGTTACTATTCGGCATCAGAGATACATGTTTTGTTGATTTTAGTTATAAAAAATGAGATAAACTTGAATATGAATACATTGCCTTCCTTGTTCAAGGAGCTAACTCTTGGATAAAATAGCTATTTAATGAAACCTCTTTACAGAATACCATGATACTCTCAAGAAGACTATTTTAGAAACAAAAATTATGTTGAAATCTACTTAACTCCTAAAATGGTCATTTTCAATGAATATTAGAGTGATTCCTAATGTAAAATTTACTAATATCTAATGCTTGTCGCAGTTTTACTTTGTAGAAGTATGTCAAAATTGATAATTGATGATATTTTTATTGAGGCTAATATATTATCCTTTGTTGCCATGAGTGGATGAAGAAACTTTTGGAAGTCTCAACTAGCGAATACAAGAAATTTAGTCAAATTATTACACCTCACGGGTGTGAGAAATAATGAATATTATCTACTAGATTTTAGCAAACATATATCCAAGCTGATCAATGTAGGACACTTCCACTGAAGAGATGTGAAGTGTACATTGAACTGAAGTGTCATTGTAATTGTGTATCATCTCAGTTATTGGGCAAGTTAAGGAGCATGGTGAATGTTTGTAATATAATTATGTAAATCCTTCTGGTTTCTTGCATGAAAGACATGCGGAATCATGTACCACTGGCTCTGACATTGATTCTCAGGTCTATGAGTTGCTCCACTGATTTTAGATCACATTTGTGCTCATCACTCGGCATATCTGTATTGATATTGACACGGTTTTATTTTAATTTTAGACATACGACTAATCATACCATGTTTGAAATTGTAAGGGTATATTTCGTGAAGCCTGTATTCCTTTTTTGAAGTGTATTTCTGTCATGTTCCAATCCCCAGACACAAAGGAGAAAACATCAAAGCCTACACTAATGCAGGCAGGAAGATACGGCTTGATGCTAACACTGCATTATGTATGGATAACTTTATCACATGTACATATGAGTGATTGTATATCTCTTTTGCTTTTCAGTGTCTTCTCAGAAAAAAAAAGCCTTGAAGGTGATTAAAATCTCATTTATATTTTGAACTAGTAAATGTATAGTCTATGAAACATACTTTATTTATTGATTATTTTGTTTCAAATTCCATTCAGGCGACAAGTGACAAGGAAGATTCTGTTTCGAATACAGCCACAGAAATAAAGGATGGACAACAATCTGGGACAGGTAATTTTGCAAAACACATTTAACGTCATGTTCAGTCAAGACAGAAAAGAACTTCTCTTCCCCAAATAAATCAGCGAGGGACTCGTTAATGCTGCACATTCTGATTCAGCAGGCCTGAGATTCTTCATTTGTAGTAAGTTCTCGGGTGATGCTGATGCTGCTGGTCTTGGACATGATCTTCCCAGCCTAACCTAGAGGAAACAACAAATGTAGGCACATTATTACACGACATGGGTTTGAGAAACAAAGAATATTATATACTAGGATTATCCAAACCTATATCCAAACTGATGAAGCTGGGACACTTCCACTGAGGACTTGTGAAGTGTACATTCTACAGAAGTGTCATTGTCATCGTGTACCTGCTCAATTGTCAGGCAAGTTAAAGATCATGATGAATATTAGTAGTATAATGGTATAAATCCTTCTGATGTCTTGCATGAGAAACATGCAATAGTATTTACTACCTTCTTTGACATTGATTCCTGGGTGTATGAGTTGCTCCTCTGATTTTAGATCATATTTCTTTTCATCATTCGGGATATCCACATTGATGTCAACACTTTTTATTTCAGTAATACACACATGACCCATAATTTCTCTTTGTAATTTGTGACTGCATATTTTCTGGAAGCCTGTATTTCCATTTTCTTCAGTGTATTTCCTCATGTTCCTGTCCCAAAGACACAAACTATAAAACATCAGATCCTATGCTAGTACAGGCAGGAGGCTACGGCTTGATGCTAACACTGCATGAATGTGCGGATAACTTTATCATATTTACATAAGATGGATTATATATTTCTTTTACTTTTCAGTGTCTCCTCAGAAACAGTCGGCCTGGAAGGTAGTTACTCTTTCATTTATACTTTGAATTACTAATTGTATAGTCTATGAAATATATGTTATGTATTGACTATTTTGCTTCTCATTCCACTCAGGTTATATCTAAAAAGAAAGCTCCTGTTTTGAATATTGCCACAAGAATAATGGCTGGTCGGAAATCTGGAACAGGTAATTTGGCAATACACATTTAATGTCATGTGCACTCAAGATAGAAGAGAACGTCCCACCCCTGAATAAATCAGCGGGGGGATCATTGAAAATGCACTTTCTGATTCAGCAGGCCTGAGATTGTGCATTTCTAGTAAGTTCTCAGGTGATTTTGATGCTGCTGTTCCTTGGCCATGATCTTAGTAACAAGGTTATAGACTTCCCTACATTGAAATCATGTAGAAGAACCGTTGGAAAACAGTCCAAGACATAAGAGGATCAGGGTACAGCATAATTTTGCTGTTATTTCAGAGCATATTTCTATGGAGAGGGGAAGGAGAAAGAGAAGAAGTAATAGAAGTTATAGATGTCAGATGGTTCTGCTACAACCAGAGGGAAGAAGTTGTCATAATAACCCATAAACACTGGAGAATGAGAAGCAAAGTGACCACTGATGTAGTAATTCTTTTCATCAAGAAAGAGGAATTGCAAGGCAAGAAAGAGGGAAAGGAAGAAGTTAGTTAGGTAATTTTGGGGTTTCTGCTGAGGAAACCTCAGCGAGCTCACTTCAAATGCATTTGGAATATTTACATACGAGAAGATCTGACTTCTGGCTGCTCCAATGTCTACTGGAATCAGGGAGGAGTGCTAGAATTGGGATAAACCTCAGTGTCTCATTATTCCTGTTTATTACTATCAGACATCAGAGATATATTTTTATTAGTTATTCAAATGAGTTAAAATTTAATATGAATACATTAGCTTTTTTCCAAAGTGCTGGGGTTTTTTTTGTTAAAATAACTATTTAGTGAAAATTCTTTATAATAAAGTGATATTCCAGAGCAGACTAATTTTAGAGACAAAAATAATGTTGACTGCATTAATTGAATCCTAAAATGGTTATTTGCACTGTATATTGGCCTGATTTCAAAATGTATAAGTTCATTAATATCTAATGCCTGGAGCAATTTCATTTTGTATAAGTATGTATAATTTATTATAGTTTTTGATGGGTTTTATATATTATACCTTCTTGCCATTAGTGGATGAAGAAATTTTCTGAAGGCTAAACTAGAGGATACAAGAAATATAGGCAGATTATTATACCACATGGGTGTGATAAATAATGAATATTATCTACTAAGGTTCATCAAACATATATCCAAACTGATGAATTCATGACACTTCCACTGAAGAGGTGTGAAGTGTACATTCAACTTAAGTGTCATTGTAATTGTGGGCCTTCTCAATTATTGGGCAAGTTAAAGAACATGATGAATATTTTTGTTGTAATTGTATAAATCCTTCTGATGTCTTGCATGAAAGTCATGCAGTCACAGTTAGCACCAACTTTTATATATATTTCTAGGGTTACGAGTTGCTCCTCTGATTTTAGATCACATTTCTCCTTGTTAGTCAGCATATCCACATTAATCCTTATTTTTTAGTAATAGATGTGGTGCATAATTTCACTTTTTAACTTGTAACGGTATGTTTTTTGAAGCCTATATTCCTAATTTCTTTAGTGCATTTCTGTCATGTTACTATCTCAAAGAAACAAACTAGAAAAACATGAAACCCTACACTAATACAGGCAAGAGTATTGAGTTTGATGCTAACACTCCATGAATGTATGGTTGGCCTTACCACATTTACATATGATTGATTATATACTTTTTTTGCTTGTTAGAGTATCCTGAGAATCTGCCCACCTTGAAGGTAATTGCTCTTACATTTGTATTAACTGTATATCCTATACAATATACATCATGTGCTAATCATTTTGTTTTAAAACCATTCAGGCTACAATTGAAAATAAAGATTCTGTTCTGAATACAGCCACCAAAATGAAGGGTGTACAAACATCCACACCAGGTAAACTTTGTAATGCAGATTTAACTGTGGAAAGATGTACATTAATCTATTTGTAATGCTCATAGTCTTTCTATTCTCAATTATTTCACTTTTTTATATTATTTCAGGATTTCATCTAAATAATGCAGCCATTATCATTTTTATTTAGGTTTTCAAAAATGAGATTTGCATACATAAGGAAAATACATTTTTAAAAAATATAAGGTTTTTTGTTGTTGTTGTTTTTGTTGTTGTTGTTAGACAGAGCTTTGTTCTTATTGCCCAGGCTGGAGTGCAATGGATCAATCTCAGCTCACTGCAACCTCCGCCTTCCTGGTTCAAGTGATTATCCTGCCTCAGGCTCCCAAGTAGCTGGGATTACAGGCATGCACCACCATGCCTGGCTAATTTTGTATTTTTAGTAGAGACAGGGTTTCTCCATGTTGGTCAGGCCAGTCTTGAACTCCTGACCTCAGGTGATTCTCCCACCTCACCCTCCCATAGTGCTGGGATTACAGGCATGAGCCACCGGGGCCTGGCCTTAAAATACAAGATTTTATTCAGATTATTCTACTTTTACATTTTGATACTCTAAAGTTTCCAGTTTGGAATTTCAATGTTTTTTAGCTATTTAAAGAGATCTATTTTGGTACTCTAAAATATTTGTTTTGCTTTAAAAGTCAGTTCAAATTATGGCTTTTATCTAATGAAATGTTTTGTCTGATAACATATTTGATTTGTTTTAACTTTTATTGGTTCTGGTCAATTTTGTTACACTTATTATATTAAACCAATCAGCTGTTCTGATTAGTACACTGTTTGTTTGTATGTGTGTTACTTTATTTTTTTTTTTTTAATTTTAATGAGTAAATCGTAGATGTTTATGTTTATGGAGTAAATGAGATATTTTGATACAGGCATACAATATGTAATAATGACATCATGGTTAATGGTTTATCCATCACCTCAAGCAATAACCATTTCTTTATGCTTTTAATTTGTACTTCCTCAGTACCGCTAAAATGTACAACAAGTTATTGCTGACTGTAGTCATGTTTTTGTTTTATAAAATGCTAGATTTTATTCATTGTGTCTAACTATAGTTTGTACTTATTAAGCATTCTAATTTCCTACCACATCCACACCCTTCCTAGACTGCAGTAATGGTGATTTTTCTCTTCATCTCCATGAGCTCTATTTTTTAAATTTCTCACACCCACAAAGGAGTGACAACATGTGAAGCCTTTTTTTTTTATTATACTTTAAGTTCTAGGGTACATGTGCACAACGTGCAGTTTTCTTACATATGTATACTTGTGCCATGTTGGTGTGCTGCACCCATCAACTCATCAGCATCCATCAACTTGAAATTTTCATCAAGTATAACTCCCAATGCCATCCCTACCCCCTCCCCCTCCCCATAATAGGCCCCGTTGTGTGATGTTCCCCTTCCCGAGTCCAAGTGATCTCATTGTTCAATTCCCACCTATGAGTGAGAACATGCGGTATTTGGTTTTCTGTTCTTGCGATAGTTTGCTGAGAATGATGGTTTCCAGCTGCATCCATGTCCCTACAAAGGACACAAACTCATCCTTTTTTATAGCTGCATAGTATTCCATGGTGTATATGTGCCACATTTTCTTAATCCAGTCTGTCACTGATGGACATTTGGGTTGATTCCAAGTCTTTGCTATTGTGAATAGTGCCGCAATAAACATACATGTGCATGTGTCTTTATAGCAGCATGATTTATAATCCTTTGGGTATATACCCAGTAATGGGATGGCTGGGTCATGTGGTACTTCTAGTTCTAGATCCTTGAGGAATCGCCATACTGTTTTCCACAATGATTGAACCAGTTTACAATCCCACCAACAGTGTAAAAGTGTTCCTATTTCTCCACATCCTCTCCAGCACCTGTTGTTTCCTGACTTTTTAATGATTGCCATTCTAACTGGTGTGAGATGGTATCTCATTGTGGTTTTGATTTGCATTTCTCTGATGGCCAGTGATGATGAGCATTTTTTCATGTGCCTGTTAGCTGTATGCATGTCTTCTTTTGAGAAATGTCTATTCATATCCTTTGTGACTGGATTATTTTACTTGATATAATGTCCTCTGGTTCCATCCATGTCATTGTGAATGAGAGGATCTTATTCTTTCATATGACTGAGCAGTATATATATCACATTTTTAAAACCCATTTGTCTGTTGATGTACACTTAGGTTGATTCCAAATTATGGCTATTGTGAAAAGTGCTGCAATAAACATGTCAGGTCAGATTTCTCTTTTATAATACTGATTTTCTTGCTTTTGAGTGGTTACCTAGCAATGGGATTGCTAGATCATGTAGGTAGTTGTATTTTTAATTTTTTGCGGACTCTATACTGTTCTCCATAGTGACTGTACTAATTCACAATGCCACCAATGGTGTACGAGGGTTCCCCTTTCTCCACATCCTCACCAGCATTTCTTAATGCCTGCCATTTGGATAAAAGCCTTTTTAACTGAGGTGAGAAGATACCTCATTGTGGTTTTGATTTGCATTTCTGTGATGACCAGTGATGTTGAGCACCTTTCCATATACCTGTTTGCCATCTGATAGCAGTTTGTAATATAACAGTGTCATTTTGCTATTATTTCTGAGTATGTTTCTAGCCAGAGGGGAAGTAACAAACATTTAGGAAATAGAAATTATACATATAAGATACTACTGCTAAATAAAGAGGAAAGAAGTGGTGGGAATAATTTGTGAGCGTTACATAGAAGTGTTGATAATAGTTAATCAAATGAAATTTATTTGAACTAAGGAACTTTGACTGATTTTACTAAGAACCCTATTTTAAAATAAGATCACGGTTCCATGAATGTGCCTTAGAGATTAGCATGGTATATCAAATCAAACCAATTTGAGAAACAAAAAGTTATAGCATTTATTCTTTGAATAACAAAACCAATATATTCAGTGAACATTGCACTGATTTTGAAGTACAAAAAGTTCTTAATGTCTGTGGAAATTTTTCGTTTTTGACAATTATTTTTCACATTGAAAACTTATTATATACTTTCTTGTTGTTTTGGAATTTTTTTTTTTTTTTGGGTTTTTTTTTTTTTTTTGAGATGGAGTCTTGCTCTGTCTCCCAGCCTGGAGTGCAATGTTACAATCTCAGCTCACTGCAACCTCCACCTTCCAGATTCAAGCGATTCTCCTGCCTCAGCCTCCTGAGTAGTTGGGATTACAGGCACATGACACCATGCCCGGCTAATTTTTGTATTTTTAGTAGAGATGGGGTTTCACCATGTTAGGCTGGTCTCGAACTCCTGACCTTGTGATCCACCCACTTCAGCCTCCTAAAGTGCTGGGATTACAGGTGTGAGCCACCTCACCCAGCCTATACACTATTGTTGATGTAGTTTATATATCTTCTTGTATGAGTGGATTCAGAAACTTCTTGACAGGGCCAAACTGCAGATACAAGCAATGCGGACATAGCAGTAGCCCACCTATGAATGAAAAAAAAAAATGAATAGTTTTATTAATTTTTATTCTACAACTGTCTATCTAAGCTGATTAATTTCAGACAGTTTCTCTGATGAGAAATAAATTGTATATTTATTGGAAGTGTCCTCACAACTTTGTACTCCCTAAATAATAGGAAAAATAGTTGAACATGATAAATGCTTGTAGTATAATGGTATAATTGAATCTGATGTATTGCATTACAGATAGGCCATAGCATCCTCCCATCAGCTTTGACACTTACTCTCTCAGGCTCATGATGTGCTATTCTTTATAAGGATCATTTTTCTCGTTATCAGTCAACATGTTTACATTGGAATAGATAGACTCTTCTATTGAGACATGATCTCGCTTTTGAAACCTTAACTACATATTTTATAAAACCTGTATTAAATAAAACCGTTTATCTGAGGAAAGATGGCCAGAGTCAAGGAAGACTGCACGTAGCTAAGTCTTAAATTGTGAAAGAAATGTGTCAGAATAGTTGAGGAAAATATTTTAGATATAAAGAAGAGACTGCACGTTGATAAAAGTGTAAACAGTAGCAGTCATTTTGGAAATGATTAATAATGAACAACAGACTCAATGTGCTGTTATAAGGTACTATTGTGAAGTAAAGAACAGTGTGCTATTACTTCATCTGTTTCTATTGGATTTTTACATTTTGTTTTATTTCTGATGGTTTTGTTTATTGATGTTGGGTGGATAAATTTGTGAGTGAATCTTTGACCATGTTTGCATGGCTTGAACCTGGTGACATCCGTGCCTCCCCAAGTAGTTTGCTGAAGTTTTGGAGGATTAAAAGCATTTCTTAAAGAAGTAAATATTATACTAAAGATTAAGCTTCGTTTAAACACTTTTATTTTCTGGTTTTAGAAAGACTATGGATTTGATTTTTTTTTTTTTTTTAGACGGAGTCTGGCTCTGCCCACCAGGCTGGAGGTGCCATGGTGAAATCTCGGCTCACTGCAAGCTCCGCCTCCCGGGTTCAGCCATTCCCCTGCCTCAGCCTCCCGAGCAGCTGGGACTCCAGGCACCCGCCAGCACGCCCGGCTAATTTTTCGTGTTTTTAGTAGAGACGGGGTTTCACCTTTTTAGCCAGGATGGTCTCGATCTCCTGACCTCGTGATCCGCCCGCCTCAGCCTCCCAACGTGTTGGGATTACAGGCATGAGCCACCGCGCCCGGCCGACTGTGGCTTTTATCTAACTGTTCTGTGTAGCTTGTTTTAACTAAATATCTATTTTTTTTTTAGCAGAACAAGACTTAGAAATGGCATCAGAGGGAGAGCAAAAGAGGCTTGAAGACTATGAAAATAACCAGCCACGGGTATGTAAAAATTTAAAATCAAATTTCTGGTTTAATTTTGTTTTCCTTGCTTTGGTAATACAGCATATTTGAAATGAATTTACCTTTGGATTAGCCTTTTAGTATCAGTTGATTATAATTTAATATTTCATTTTAAAAACATTTAACTAGTTATAAAACTTAGTGTTGGAATCGATAGTAACGTATATCTAATCTTTACCCTTGGAATTGAGTTAAAAAGTTCCTGATATTGTTTGCACTTCTATTTTTTTTTTTTTTTTTGGGGACGGAGTCTGGCTCTGTCGCCCAGGCTGGAGTGCAGTGGCCGGATCTCAGCTCACTGCAAGCTCCGCCTCCCGGGTTTTACGCCATTCTCCTGCCTCAGCCTCCCGAGTAGCTGGGACTACAGGCGCCCGCCACCTCGCCCGGCTAGTTTTTTTTGTATTTTTTAAGTAGAGACGGGGTTTCACCGTGTTAGCCAGGATGGTCTCGATCTCCTGACCTCGTGATCCGCCCGTCTCGGCCTCCCAAAGTGCTGGGATTACAGGCTTGAGCCACCGCGCCCGGCCTGCACTTCTATTTTTATAGCTTCCTATTATATTAAAGAAGGTAACATCAAATACTGAATTACAATTTTAAGCAATAGAAATTATAAACAATTTAACAGTGACGATAACTGTATTGGATTCAGATTAAAGGAGTAATTATTGCTAGTGGCTCAAACTTTGCAGTTTTTTTTATTGCCAGTCACTAATACCAAAGTTAAGAATTAATTTTCCCTTTGAATCTCTGACTTCAGTTTGTATATTCGGGGAGAGAATGGGTCATTAAATCAACCCAACTGGCTATCAAGAGAATTATACCTTGCAGAATGGCACCTTTGGTATTAGGGTACAAACAATAACTGCCTAATGTATTTCAATATAGAAAATCTGTAAATATTATTAAACTTATTAAATCCACTGTCATTAGTAGACCTTAGAACTTAAGCCTGCAATCTATATAAGTATATAACACTGTCAATCATATTACAATATATAATTTGCATTAAAATGTAAGAAGTTGCTTTTCTTACTGACTGGTGTTGATTTTGGCTCCTAATAATTTAAAGTTTGCCTGATCACTAGTTAGTAATCTTTGGCAAAAGCACTCGAGTGTACACTGTAGGTATAGTGATAAAATCTTTTAAAGTGATAGTGCCTTTATAGTACCACAAGTCATCTCCTAATTCATTTTTGGGAAATTTAACACATAATAGTCAAGTTTAGTCCAAACAAACAGTGACAAATTAAAGTTTCATGGTTTATGTTTTTGCACCTATTTTAGGCTAATGCAAATTATTTTTCACTTCTTAGTTACAATCCAGTGATTTGGGAGTAGGTAAACATAGATTAAAAAGATTAATATTAAACTTTAATTATTTTTTAATTTTTCTCTTTTTACACTTGATTATTTAAAGATAAAGTTATTTTTAAAACATGTACTCTGACAGAAAAGACATCTGAGAAACAAAACTAGCAAATTTATCTTCCACTTTTGCATGTGCAAAAATTGTCTGAACAACTAGTTGAAAAAGTATTGTGATAGAAATGACCTCTTTATATATGCAGGACTTACTTGTGTGCAAAAGTATGAGAAAATGTGGATCAAACAAGACAAATTAGGGTAAAGAAAACTTTAAAATTCATCACAAATAAAGCAGAGTTTCGGTGAAATTTGTGAAAATTACAAAACTGCTTGTATTGAGGAAGAGCAACTACCTAATAACTCCACAGGAAGAACAAACTTAAGAAAATACCCTCTAATTTGACAAATGATTCACCTGATTGTCAGGAAAGTGATGCATCTGGCATGTCTATCTCTGTAGTAGTCCAGATATTTCCTGAACAAAAATAACCCAGTCTCAAAAATGCCTTTCTATCTCATTCGTACTCTGGGTCCCCAGAATATGCTTGCCAATCACCCCAGCTTTATTTAAGTGGAAACAAAGTATAGACCACGAAAATGACAACAAACCAGATACTGAACATGTTTTTAACCCAAACAAGGAAAAATTTTATAATGATACAGAAAGTACGAAGGCAAGAAACCCAGAAGTAGTTATGGTTGAAATAAAAGAACACAAATAGGTTGTTAGGCAAATGACCGAAAAAAAAAAAAAATCCCAAAATACCACCAATTGGAAAGTAAACATCGGACATATGCCTCAATTTAGTGATTCAAAAAGCCTTTTAGATATGTGACTTACTTGCTCCAAAGAAATGAAGCCTGTGATTTAAGAAAAAAAAAAGATCATGGTGTTTCTGTTGTTACAAACACAACAGTACAAAACCAATATAGAATGTGTTCTGGAAGCCGTTATATGACAACTGTAGTGCAAGTAAGTATGAAAGCATAAAACTTGAATTAGAAAATGTGCATTATTCTCCACCACATGGTGACAGAACATCAGCCATATGTCTAAAAGTGGAATTAAGTGATATATGCAAAGATTTAAGAATGAGGTAAGCATATTACAAGTAAAGTAGAGTCCCTGGCTTTGGAGAAAGTTCAACTTCAAAAAGACTTAGAGGGTCACTTGCTGCTACTCTGGTTTTTCTCTTCACCAATTATTTGATCCATTTGAATTTTTTACTTATGAAAATCTCTTGTGTAAAATGGGGTTATCTAAATACAAAATTGTATGTAGAAATAGATTGTTTTTGCAATTAAGATAATTCAAGCTCAGGAAGACATTTTCTTAATCTTTGTTCCTTAATTAACCCAAGTCTCTCTGTCAGTTTTCTGAATGGCATAGGAACTGGGAAACTAATTTTTCCGTAGACCATGTGACCTGCTGAACTAGAGTCAACATAAAGGAAATTTCTTTTAAAAAAAAGTACAGAACAAGCACCTGTGTTTGTGCTCATATAAACAGATGGGTAATTCCCACTTCTGTACATTTAGTATATGCTATAAATATTCTGGGGACATTTTGAAACAGTGTTGTTTATTTTCTAGGTGAAAAACCAAATACATTCTAGGGATGACCTTGATGACATAATTCAGTCATCTCAAATAGCCTCAGAGGGTGACTCGCTTTGCTCCAATTGTAAGAAAGTTATATTACTCGTTGATGAACATGAAATGAAGTGTAAAGGTAGGACCAATGCATAAATATAAGGCTTTTTTAATCCTATAGCAATGTATGCACACATTGCTTACCACTGTACCGTACAGTACTGATATGTTACAAGAATGTTCATCTCAGAAATATGCCTTATGTCAACATAGAATAAAAACTACTGTGTCTTGTACCCTTTCAGTCAAAGAGCTATAATCATCTCACTGTACTTTTCTCAGTGTGAATGGCAGGCCCAATTGTGTTTGTTTACTCTACTTCTCTTCTATGCCATTACCCATTTACCCATGGTCAAGTTACCATTTCCTCCCACCTGAAATACTGTGATAACCTTATAACTGTCTTTCCTACTATTCTGCCTTCCAAAACCATGACCTGTTCTGCAACCATAATTATATAGTTGTAAAAAATCACATCTGATCATGTTACCTGCTTGCTGAAAACCCAGCTGCCATTTATTGCTATAAGGTACAGATCTCCATCCTCGAACTTTATACTGCATCGTTGCATACCCTTTTCTGTGTCACAGCCAGTGCCTTAGGTGTTTGCTTCTACAACCGGTAGCTTTAGTGTGGTGTAACTGATATGTGATAAAGTGCACACATGTAAAAGGTACCATTTGATAAGTTTTAACAGATGTATACACACGTGAAACTATTACTATCATCAAGGTAGGCAACATATATCCATCACCCACTAAAGTCTCCTCATGGCCCTTTATATTCCTGTTTTTAAAAACTGCTAAATGATTTTCCAAAATATTTGTACTATTTTCTATTCTCATCAGCAGTAAATAACCATTCCAGTTGCTATGTTGTCACAGTAGTACTGTATTTATTTTTTTAATTTTAGTCATTCTGATGGGTGTATTATGTATATTATTGTGGGTTTAATGTACACGATCCTAATGACTAAAATGTTGAGCATCTTTCCATGTTTATTTGCCATCTGTATATCTTCTTTGTTGAACTGTCTTTTCAAATCTTTTGCCATTTAGAAAATTAGGTTGATGTTTTCTTACCTGTTGAGTTTTAATAATTCTATATGTATTTGGATACTATTACTTTTTAGCTACTTTTTTTTTAAATTGTACTTTAAGTTCTAGGGTACATGTGCATAACATGCAGGTTTGTTACATATGTATACTTGTGCCATGTTGGTGTGCTGCACCCGTCAACTCGTCAGCACCCATCAACTCGTCATTTACAAGGGTATTTTTTTTTCAGTTTTTGGGTTGACTTTTCACTTGCTTTGTAGTATCTTTTGAAGAGCAGAAGATTTTAATCGTAATGAAGTCCAATTTAATTGTTTGTTGAATTACAGATTTTGCATTTTTGCCATATGTAAAAAATGTTTGCCTAGCACAAGGTTACAAAGATCTTTTCCTATGCTTTGTTCTAGAAATTTTATAGATTTGGATCTTACATTGAAATCTATGCTCCATTTTTGAGTTTCCTATTGTATATGGAGTAAGGTGATGTATGGATTCAAGTTCACTTTTTGGATATGGACAGCCAGTTGTTCCAGCACCACATGTTGAAAGGCTATCGTTTCTCCACTGCATTGCCATGCTGCCTTTGTCAAACATAAGCTGGTTGCATATGTGTTATGTATTTCTAGACTCTCTATTGAGTTTTATTAATTTACAGATGCTCCTCAAATTGTGGTAAACCCAGTGTTTGAGTCAAAAGCAATTTAATACTTCAGTAAACCCACTGTAAAGTCAATAAGTCAAACCACCTTAAGTTGGGGATTTTCTGTATTTGACTTTCTTTATGCAGGTGGAGCATTGCTAATTTAAATATCCCAAATCTGAAGTGCTCTAAAACCCCAAACTTTTTGATTGCCAATATAGACGCTACAGCGGAAAAATTCTACATCCGACCTCATGTATACAAACATTGTTTCATGTCCCAAATTATTAAAAGTATTGTTTAAAATTACCTTCAGTCTTTGTGTATAAAGTAAATATGAAAAATAAATGTGTTTTGTGTTTAGACTTGGGTCCTATCCCTGAGATATCTCATCATGTATGTGCAAATATTCCGAAATCCAAAATCTGAAAAACTTCTAGTCTGAAGCATTTTGAATAAGGGATACTCAGCCTATACCTGTGGCACACTGTTTTGGTTACTGTTGATTTATAGTAATTCTTGAAATGAATCCTCCAATTCTGTTCTTTGTTCTGTTTTGACTATGCTAGATCCTTTGCATTTTTATATGAACTTTAGAATCAGCTTATCAAAATAAAGACTGCTTGCTTGTTGGAAATTAAGTTGGGATTGTGTCATATTTATAGATTTGGGGAGAATTGACATCTTAACAATAGTGAATCTTTCTACTCAATAAAGTGTATGTCTGCTTTTATAGAAGTAATATTTAATTTTCTCAGTAGTATTTTGCAGTTTTTAGTTTACAGGTCTTTTCATATTTTATCAGATTTATCTGTATTTCATTTTTGATGAAGTTGTAAATGATAGTTTAGTTAGTATAGATGTATTTGACTTTATACAGGTTGAGCATTGCTAATCCAAATATACATTTTTATAAAATTATAGAAAATGCTAATTTTAAAATTTTGATTTGATTGTTTATTGCTAGCATATAGAAATGCAGTTAATTTTTCAATATTGAATTTGTATCCTTCAATCTTGTTAAACTCACTTATTAGTTCTGGCATATTCTTGGTAGATTTGATCAGATTTTCTTCACAGACAAAAAGTTATTAAACCTTTCTTTCTCAAATTACCCTCTTACTAATGATAGTGAATATTTTAGACTTGTGGTAAAAGGGTCTCTTTTGCAGCTGATAAACTCTGCCATTTTAGTATGAGAGCAGCCATAGACCATCCATAAATTAATGAACACAGCTGTGTTCCAGTAAAAGCTTATTGACATAGACAAGAAGCTGGCCCACAGGTTGAGGTTTACCCATACCTGTTGTATGGTCACAGTTGTGTATAAAGACAATTTTATTTCTTTTTTTAAACCTGGACGCCTCTTATTTCTTTTTCTTGCCTGACTGCATTAACTAGAATCTTCAGAACAATATTACATACAAGTAGTGAAAGCAGACATTCCTGTGTTGTTCCTCATGTTATGGGAAATGCATTCAGTTTTTCACTATAATGCACGTTAGCTGCAGATTCATCATAGACGTTTTTATCATGCTGAAGAACTTCCCTTGGATTCTTATGTTGCTGAGAGTGTTTCTTTGAAATATCAGGAATAAATTTTATCAGATGCCTCTATCTGTTGGGATGATCCTGTGGGTCTTCTCTTTTAGTTCATTTTATGCTAAATAATGATGTTTCAATGTTAAGCCAACCTTTCCTTTTCTGGAATAAACCCCCTTTGTTTATGATGTATTACCTTTTTATTATACTATTGGATTAAACTTACTAAAGTCTCATTTAGAATTTATTATAAAGACTTTTATTTTTTAGACCAGTTTTATGACCCTGGCAAAATTGAGAGGGAGGTTCGGATTTTTTTTTGTATACCCCCACCCCAACACATGTGTAGCCTCCCTCATTACCAGTATCCTTCACCATAGTGGTCGTTGCTATGACGGATGAGCCTAAATTGACACACTACAATTACCCAAAGCCCATAATTTGCACTGGGGTTCACTCGTGGTACTGTATATGTATGGGTTTGGACAAAGGTACAATGATGTGTATCCATGTTATAGAAATTATTTTGACTTCCCAAAAAATCCTCTGTGCTCTGCCTATGTATCATTTCCTGCTGTCTCTCACCCTTTGGCACACTTTTACTTTATCCATAGTTTTGCATTTTCCTGATCATATAGTTGGAATCATACAGTAAGTAGCCTTTTCAGATTATCTTACGTCACTTGGTAATGTGCATTTAAGGTTCCTTCACATGTTTTCATGAATTGATTTCTCATTTCTTTATGTGTAGAGTGATATTCCACCGTATGGCTGTTTAACCGCAGTTTATTCACTGCACTATTGGAAGATATCTTTGTTGCATCACAAATTGGTTGAATTTTTACATTCATGCTCATGAGGGAATTTTCTTGTTGGTAATATTTTCTGGTTTTGGTTCAGGGTAATGCTAAAATTACAGACTGAGTTGAGATATACTCTTCTTTCTGTTTCTTTTGGGAGAGTTTGTGTATAATTGTATTATTTTCTTCCAGAAATGTTTTGTAAAATTCACCAACATAGCTAGCTGGGTCTGGAGTTTTCTTTTAGCAAAGTTTTTAACTATAACTTAACTTTCTTTTATAGATATAGGGCAATTCAGGTTATCTATTGCTTCTTGATTGAGATTTGCTAATTTTCATTTTAAAAGGAATTTGTTAATTTTATCTAAGTTGTCATGTTTACTTACATAGAAATTATAATATCTTGTTATATTTTTAGTATCTGTAGAATCTATAATAGTGTCACTTTGTTTATTTCTGAAATTCGTAATTTGAATTTTTTCTTTTTTTCTGAGCAGCCTGGCTAAATGGAGCTTTATCACATTTGTTGATCTCCTCGAAGTGTTTTGTGTTGATTTTTTTCTATTGTTTCTTCTGAAACCAAGAGTATAACAAAATACCATAGACTGGGTCAAACAACGGAAGTTGATTTCTCGCAGTTGTGGGGTCAGCAAAGTCCAAGATCCAAATGCTGTTGGATTTGGTGTATGGTTCGGGAACATGTCCTGGTTCATGAATGAATTCTTTTTCTCTGCGCCCTCACTTGGCAGAAGGGGTGAAGGAGATCTGGGGTCTGTTGTATAAGAGCACTAAGCACTAATTCTGTTCATGAGGGCTTGGCTCATGTAAAAATCACCCCTCCTAATACCGTCACATTGTGATTGGCTTTCAGCATATAAATTTTGGGAAAGACAAACATTCAGACCACAGCAGATGTTTATTATTTCCTTTCTTCTGCTTGCTTTGGGTTTAATTCACTCTTCTTTTATCTAGTTGCGTAAGGTAGAAGTCAAGGTCATAGATTTGAGACTCTTCTAATATAGACATTTGGCAGTGCTAAAAATTTCTATTCAAGTACAGTTGTAGCTGCATTCCACAAATTCTGGTTGACAAATTTTTATTCAGTTCAGAATATTTTCTAATTTCTATTTCATTTTCATTACCTGTTTGACCCAGGGTTATTTAGATGTGTGTTACTTAGTTTCCAAATATTTGGGTATTTCCCAGAGTTATTTTTGTTATTGGTCTTTAATCTGATTGATTTGTGGTCAGGGCACATACTTTGTATGACTTAAATCCTTCTGACTCAACCCTTTAGTTGAGAGTTGTTGTATGGCCTAAAATATGATCTATTTTTGGTAAGCATTCCATGGGTACTTGAAAAGTGTGCTGTTGTTCAAGTCTATTCTTGCTGATTTTCTGCCTTCTTGTTCTATCACTTATTGAGTAAAGGGTATCGAAACCTCAGATTGCTTAGAAATTGTCTGTTTCTTTTTGTAGTTCTATCCACTTTGGTCTCATATATTGTGAAGCCGGTTTGTTATTAGGTGCATAAACACTTAGGATTGTTATGTTTTGTTGATTAACTTAACCTTTTACTATTGTGACATGACCTTTTGTTATTTATTGCTGGTTTTTTTGTTTGTTTGTTTGTTTGTTTTGCTATGAGATCTACTTTGGTATTAACACAGCCCACTCCTGCTCAGCTGCCCTTGGCAACTGTTAGCATGTATCTTTTTCCATCCTTGTAACCATTTGTGTCTTTACATTTAAAGTGCATTTCTTATAGGCAGCCTGTAGTTGGGTCTTGCTTTCTTACTGAGCCTGACAGTCTGCATTTGAGTTGAGGTTCTTAGACAAGTGTCATTTATAATGTCATTGATAATGGTTATGTTTGTCTAGTAGCTGTTTGATTGCTATTAGTCCCAGCTGTTCTTTGTTCCCCTTTCTTTTTCTGCTTTCTTTTAGATTAGTCAACTATTTTTTATGATTCAATTTTGCATATATTTTTGGGTTGATTAGGGATAACTGTTTTGCTATATTAATGTTTAGGATTTTTATTATATAATTTTAAATTATCACAGTCCACCTTCAGTAGTACTATACATCATAGATGGTATAAAAAAATGACAATGATACATTTTCAGTTTTTTCTGTCCCAGACACTTCCTCCCTGAATCTGTGGGATTATGGTTTGTATTAAGGTTAGAATATTTTCGGCCATTTTTTCTTTTAATTTTTTTTTCTATCTCTTCTTTTTTTATTTAAGGAGTTATCGATTAGCTGCTTGAAAGTTTCTCACAGTTTATTGTGTCAAATTTAGGAATATTTTCCTTTGTCATCTCTAATTTGTGTTTATTTCCATCCACTATAGTTTTTACTTCTGACAATGTAATTTGCATCTCCACAAGTATGGTCTGTTGTTTTTTTTTTTTAAAAATACCTTCCATGTCTCTACTTACTGTCTTGAGTTTTATTTGGAGTACAGAGATTTGCTTATAATCTTTCCATTCTTGCTTTTAGATTTGGGGTAATTCCTCACTCCTGAGGCAAGACCTTTCTGAATATTCATTGTCATGTGAAGTATGAGGTATTTTGGCCTGGTGCATGGGAATGGACCCTCTTCCAGTCATTGTGTGAACCCCAGGCATAGTTTCTGCTGATTTTCTTTAACTGTTTCTTTTAAATTTTATTTTCCACTGTCTTAGGAAGTTTCCTAGCACACAAGCACTTTTCGTTACTCCACTAAAATACCCAAGAGGGAATCTCTGCGCATCTCCAGGATTTGTTTCCTGTACTGCTTTATTCTCTCCAGTTTTCAGTCCTGTGATCTCTATCTGCTTTGATTTTACTAGCCTCTCAGCTTCATAACCCCAGCTCTATGTCAGATTTTCTCCCTTTGTCATGGCCTTGAACCTCTGTCAAAACTCTGTCAAAAGAGCTGGGACAATTGTAAGGCCTGCTATATATGTTTTCTGTCTTATAGTGATCACCTACCATCTTCATTGCCTGAAGCCCACTGTGTTGGAAATCATTGCTTAATGTATTTTGTCTGTTTTGTTTTTTATTGTTTCAGGTAAGATGAAAAATCCTGTCCGTTACTCCATCAGAGCTAGTAATAGATTGCAGCAGAGCTTCGGCACAGCACATGCTGTAAACTGGCCAGGGTGTTTTGCTTTCCTTTTTGCCTAACTGCTTCTTTCTCATCCTTCATTTCTCAGTGTAGTATCTCTTCCTCAGGGAAATCTTCCCTGGGTGAAGTATAGATCAAATTATCTTATGCAGTCATATAACTATGGTTTTTTTTTTTACAGGACCTGTCTGAGTTTATAATTGTCACCTTTTTATCTTGGTTCTTCATTATGCTTTAAGCTAAAACAATAGCAGAGGTGTTGTCTTATCTGCAGACCTTAGTATAATATCTTCTACCTTGTAGGCACTCAATATGTACATATTTGTTCAATGTATGAATGAATGCATGTTAAAAATGCACAGTCCTTTATATCCAAAAACTTACTCATGTATTTTATCTCTATTTTGTTTTTTCCCAGTTACAGATTGTGTTCGCCTATCAAAAATTAAAAATGCATTTTGTTTTTGTAAAAGATCAATAAAACTTAAAGATAATCACTGTGAGCGACTTACAGTAAAAATTCAAAAAATGAAAAATAAGGTTAGTGTACTACGGAAGAGACTATCTGAAAAAGAAGAAATAGAATCGTGCTTACAGCATGAAAAACTTGAATACGAACAAGAACTCTGTAGTGTGAGGTATGACCTTGTTCTAAAGAAATGTTAGAACTATTTGTTTTATACTAAAGACGTATAAGGAAAATTTTTGTAATTGCTAACTTTCCTTCTAGGATTTACAGGGAAAAAAGTTTCTTAATCTTATGGAGTGTGAAATTATTGGATATGATATCACAAGTTCTTAATTGTGAATACTTCTCTAATAATTAAATGCATATTCTTTTAAATCATAGTTTTAATGGCTGTATAGAATTTTACCCTTTGGAAATCTCATTATTTAATTGATGAATTAAATTTTAGGTTTTAAAAAGTTTTTGTATTAATGCTACAAGGAACATCTTTTATTTACACGTAGTTTTCTACATTTTTAATTATTTACTTTGGATAAATTCTTCTGGTTAAAGTACAGAAACTTTTTTAGATCTGTTTTAGATCTTTGATCAATATTTCTAAATTGTTCTTAAGAAAGTTTATATTAATTTATAATTCAATCAACAGGGTATAAAATAGATATTTTCTTTATCCAGAATAATTATTTTAAAAATTATCAATCGGGTGCGGTGGCTCACGCCTGTAATCCCAGCACTTCGGGAGGCTGAGGTGGGCAGATCACGAGGTCAGGAGTTTGAGACCAGTCTGGCCAACATAATGAAATGCTGTCTCTACTAAAAATACAAAAAATTAGCCAGGCGTGGTGGTGTGCACCTGTAATCCCAGCTACTCAGGAGGCTGAGGCAGGAGAATCCCATGAACCTGGGAGGCGGAGGTTGCAGTGAGCTGAGATTGCACCATTGCACTCTAGCCCAGTGATAGTGCGAGACTCCCTGTCAAAAAAAAAAAAAAAATTATCCAGTTTTATTCTTAATATGCAGGGAATAAAAAGTAAAATGGAAAGTGTTTACTGATTAGCTTATTCAACATCCCTCTGCTATGTAGATAAAATTAATTCAAAGTTTTATGCTGAAGACACGTATTATTCTTTATTGTTTAATTAAATATTAGATCTTGTGTTGTTCCAAAACAGATTTTAAAATTGTTTATAAAATACATACTAATCAACAGGATAGATTGAAAGTGTTGCCCAAAAAAACAATCTTCAAAAGTGTAGGGGGTAACATATTACATTCTTAACCTAGTCTTGGATTACACTAATCTGCTGATATATATTTCATAAACACATCAAAAGTGCTATCTTACAATGTAAATTAGTTTAGGGATACTTGCAATGAATGTTTCATGAAGGTGGAAATATATTTCTAGTGAATGTATCAACTTGTTTATAAAAAGTTGCTGTATGTTAATTAACTCTAAACGTTTCATCCTAATTGAAAAGTAATTATTGTGTGAAGAAAAGGTCATTTTTATCTTGTAACTTTACTGAATAATTTTCAGCATCTTTTTTCGTAATAGTTGGTAGAGTTACACGTATCAGAAACTTGTGCAGGGTGTTCTTTTGTCAGTACATTTCAACTTATACATGTCCTTTGGATGAGATTGAGGTGAGAAATTAAAAACATGAGAACTAGAAAGAAAAATAGTATTTAAGAACATAGAAACTTTATTAGGATAATAAGCAACATATGAATGTTTTATCTTCTAATATCAACAAAGAGAGTCAAACTCTGTAAAATATTTGAAGAGATTTATTCTGAGCCAAATATGAGTGACCATGGCCACTGACACAGCCCTCAGGAGGTCCTGAGAACATGTGCCCAAGGGGCGCAGCTTGGTTTTATACATTTTAGAGAGGCATGAAACATCAATCAAATACATTTAAAAAATACATTGGTTTGGTTCAGAAAGGCAGGACAACTGAAAGCAGGGGCTTCCAGGCTATAGATAAATTTAAACATTTTCTGGTTGACAATTGGTTGAGTTTATTTGAAGACCTGGGATTAATGGAAAGAAATGTTCAGGTTAAGGTAAATGATTGTGGGGACCAAGTTTTCTTGTGCAGAGGAATCTCTCAGCAGACTTCAGAGAGAGCAGGTTGTAAAATGTTTTCTTATGGGACCTTTTAAAAAGGGTGCCTGGCTCTTAGCTGATTGTCTCCTGGATCTTCATAGAAAGGAAGGAAAACAAAGGGGAAAAGGGGGTTCTCTATAGAATGTGGGCTTTTCCCACAAGAGACTTTGCAGGGCAATTTCAAGGTATGGCAAGGAAATATATTTTTGATTAAATATTTGCTTCCTTGTCTCATAATGTTATGCCAGAGTCAGATTGAAAAGCAAGTCACAATATACGGGGTCAAATAAAATCCATCTGATGAGAATCCATGGTACCCCTTAGGTAGGAATTTGCACAAGATAAAAAATTAAAGCTTACTCCTCACTGATAAAATAAATACTAAGATAAGTATATTTACAGATTTACCATACAGCAAGAAAAAGAGAAAAGAAGAAATGTTGAAGAGTTGCACCAAAAAGTTCGGGAAAAGTTAAGAACAACAGGAGAGCAACATAGGATAGAAGTTGATGAGACAGAACAAGTTAAACTGGCTCTCAAATCACTGGAGATGGAATTGAAGAGTGTAGGAAAGAATTCAAATCAGGTTTGGTAAAACTTCATATTTCTACTTTTTTCAAATGTTACTTATAATATCTCTTTCATTTAATGTATATTATTTAAGCCTAAAAAAACCCCAAATTGTATTTCATCTTAAAAATGAATCAAGGAATTTATAGCTACAATTATTTATAATCTTGAAATATTTTATTTTAGTTCAAAGACCTTTTGAAAACAATGCTATTCTATAATGTATACTTAATGATATTGTAAGTATTTTGTTCCTAGTGACATAGTTCAGCATATTTTCCCCTATTTCATGTTAATTACTGTTTCAAATGTTATGGAAAAGAAATAAAAGTGATCACAATAGCAAATAATCTCATGATTTTCTAGGAAGAGCTTTATAAACTTAATTTTCTTGACTTTTGGTGTTTTGAAATAAAAGATTATTTTTGTATGTCTATATCTACCTCACAGAAGTAACTGATTTGGTGGAAGAGCACTAGAAGTAGAGTCAGAAAAGCTGGAAAAAGTCCTGCAGCTTGCTTATATTTTTAACCTTTTGCTATAGAATTATAACTAAATGAGTTCATTGATTTGTGCATGTAAAAGTGCTTAGTACAATGTCTAGACTTATCATTTATCAATAAATGTCATTCTTAAAACTGACCATAACAATATTAGAAAAGTAGAATATCTATACAATATTTTAGGAAAAGGGAAGTTAAAGAATTTGGAAAATGTCATTCATCTGTCCAAATATCTGCCAGGCTAAGGCTCTCACTATAGGGAGATGTATAGCTTAGATGTTAGAGTGTAAACCCAATTTTTTAACGTGATCATAGTTATTAATTCTTTATGCTTTGCAATTTGTTGTAATTCAGTAAAAGCCTTTTTTAATTCTGAAATTTGTAAAAATTTTCTAGTGGTTTTTTTTTTTTTGCTTTCATGGATTCACTGTCTTCAAATAAACTTTCAAACTTTGGGGAATTAATGCTTTTTGAGGTTTGAGGTTTTGACTCAACTTCTTTTTTCCCAGTTAGATATCCAGTTATGGCAACCCTCTCATTGTATAAATGCACAGGTTATTATTTAATTTCAAAAGCAATCACAATATGTTATCCTATTGGGTACTAGTTATAAGTTTTCTTTGTTTTACTTAGAAACAGATTTCTGATACTGATAAAAAAGAAGACCTGCTGCATGAAAACCACTTGATGGAAGATGAAATTGCCACGCTTAGACTGGAAATAGACACAATGAAAAACCAAAACCTGGAAAAGAAATACTTAAAAGACTTTGAAATTATGAAAAGAAAGCATAAAGACCTTCAAAAGACTCTAAAACGGAATGGGGGAACATTAGCAAAAACGATAGCTGATTATAGGGTACAGCTTGCTGCTCTGAAAGATGAGAACGCAACGCTCCGTTCCAAACTGGAGAAGGAAACACAGACCAGGCAGAGACTGGAAACAGAAACGGAATCATACCGTTGTAGACTGAATGCTGCTCTATCTGATCATGATCAAAGTCACTCATCAGAAAGAGACCAAGAGCTTGCTTTCCAGGGCACAGTAGATAAATGGTGTCATTTACAGGAAAATTTGAATTCTTGTGTTCTGACTCCTTCTCAGCAACTTTCTAAAGCTGAGAGTAAGTTCAGAGTCCTCGAAACTGAGCTCCGTTACACAAGAGAGGCTCTGAAAGAAAAGTCTTTGGTTTTTGAACATGTACAAAGAGAACTAAACCAAAAACAGTGTCAAAGGAAGGACATTGAAAAAATGTACAAAAATGAATGTGATAAAGTGGAAAAATGCATAGAAAAGCAGGAAAGATTTTGTCAACTAAAAAAACAAAATATGTTACTTCAACAGCGACTGGATGATGCTCGCAACAAAGCTGACAATCGAGAAAAAGCAATACTTAATATTCAAGCCAGATGTGATGCTAGAGTACAAAAGTTTCAAGCTGAGTGCAGAAAGCACCGTCTTTTATTACAAGAAGACAATAAGAGGTTGGTCAATGAATTGAATCATTTGAAAGAAAAAGCACGCCAAAATGAAAAAGAGAAAGCAGAAAGAGAAGTAAGTGTCAAGAAAAATAAGTATTTTTCAAACTTCCTGAAGTAAAATTTGAAGTAATATTTGGTTACAGCTAAATGTTGGATCTAGTTGAATATAAAAAAGGATACATATGATAAATGTATCTGCTATATCAGCTGAGAAACATTCCTTGTTTCCAGCAAGTCAGAGTTAAAACTGAGAGATTCTTTCCTCTGATTAAATTCATGTGTCACTTATACAATTTTAAGTTATAAAATGTTAATGTAGACTAATATTAATAATGTAGTCTTATACTGCTGAAATAATAATTTTTTCATTTCAAGACATTTCAAGACCATGATAAATCAGATATATGGAAATGCTCATACCTAAAATGGTATTTTGAAATTGATTCAATTAAGTGGGGTACTTCGACAGTTAATTTCAGATTTCCCAGATGAACTGAAGTGTATTCCCTATTTCATAATTATTTTTCTTCAGTAGCTTTAAATATATCTTAGTTGGTACAATTTTGTTTTTCTTCATATCAATTTGACTTAAATCTGAAACTATTTCAATCTCAAATTATGTATAGATATGATCATTCCATTCTTTAAAGGCATCTAATTTTACTTATATTATAATATGGGGAAAATGTGGTAAATTTTAGCCAAACCATATTTGATTTAATCTTCCCACTGACATTTATAATTTACTTTCAGTTTTGTTTTTTTTTTAAATATTTTTTTATTATTATACTTTAAGTTCTAGGGTACATGTGCATAACGTGCAGGTTTGTTACATATGTATACTTGTGCCATGTTGGTGTGCTGCACCCATTAACTCGTCAGCACCCATCAACTCGTCATTTACATCAGGTATAACTCCCAATGCCATCCCTCCGCTCTGCCCCCTCCCCGTGATAGGCCCCGTTGTGTGATGTGTCCCTTCCCGAGTCCAAGTGATCTGATTGTTCAGTTCCCACCTATGAGTGAGAACATGCGGTGTTTGGTTTTCTGTTCTT